CATCGATATGCTCAAACTTTTTTTTGTTTTTTTATACGATGGTTTGCCATGGGGAAGGAATATAATTTCGTGATCGTGTCCGTTATTAAAAAAAGTAGTATCGCTCATTAAGCAAATCAATGATTTTGACTACTGCAGCGCGTATCCTCCGTAACTCTAGAGTGATTCCATATAGGGAGGAATCGATTTGACTTACATAATCACTTTCCACCACATACCGTTATACCAATTTTCTATAAACGAAGCCGTTTGTTGAGCTTCTTAGGCCTTATCAATTTTCAAATTTAATTATTTTTGATTTGGCAAGACTTAAATCAGTGGTAAAACTGATACAATATTTTGAAGAGGGAAAACCTTTTGTTTCTTAGGACTTTTCCATATTTTTGAAAACAAAGAGAATTTTTCCAACAACTCTATACCTCCCCAACAGTTTGTGAACATTCGAAAAACGTTCGTAAACGAAAAACGTAAAACATTTCTCCAGGAATAACGTAAAACTTTATCTCATATTTTCAAAATCCTTATCATCATTTGCTTCTATTTGTCGTTAATCTACCTCCGTTGCTATTTTTTTTGATCGTTTACTACCCTGCCGGATCTGCTGAATTAAATCTTGGAAGACTGTGAAAGACAGATTCAATGGCAAATGCTTGGACAGCAGGAAACTTTGAGAGTTAGCAGTTGATGAACTTTTTATGATTTTCTTCGCAAGTTCTTTCTAGAAATTTTTGTTTCGAGGATATTCAGAAAACAAAGGCGAAATGGCAATGAACATCGACAATAGCTAAAATCTTCTATAGTTAGTTTGTTCTTCCAATTAACCCCGAACGTTTGATTCTATTGTCTGTAGCCAGCGGTTATCTTTGATTATCTCTGCACTCGTTGGACTAAAACAAACGAAAATTTCAATTTGCGATAAGCAACGATCCCCTATAACGCTTTTAGTCGGAAAGAAATGACTTAAGCTCCTCAAACCTTCTCTTACAGTATTGTTTATTAGAAACAGAAGGCAAAACTGATAGATAATTTTG